TTTATTTTTATATATGCTGAACTCTGTGTGTGCGTGTCAGTGGTGCTCAATTTTTTCTTTACTTTCTACACTTACTTGTTGGTACGCCAAAAGTACAAGTGGATGAGCTCCACTGANGCTCAATAACTACCTTAAACTTGTTATCAAAAAGACATAGAATGGCGTATGGACTTTATAGGTCCACTGAACCAAAAGAGCACCAAACCACTAACCTTTGACTTATGCCGAAACCAATAAAGTTAAACTATTTCAGGGATTTCAATACTTCTGTTGATACGCATTCGGCAATTTTGTATAAACAGAAGCATTGAAATCTTATAGTTAAACTTTACCGGTTCTAGCATAAGTTAAAGTTTAATGCCCGCATAAACAAGGCTACTGAACTATGACTACGATTACACGTACTGATAAAACCGTTTTAATAAAAACCGTTTTAGTAAAAACCGGACTTAGATGTCCTGTAAACGTCCCTTAATAATGATGTTATGAAAACTGTTTCAGTAAAGTCAAACCTTTTCTGAAAAAGATTTGGCGTTATTAAACCGTTTTAAGACAGACGTGTAAACGGTCTTCAATGGTTTTAACGTATCAAAATGCGATATTACCAACTTTAAACATTTGTAAGAAAGTACAACAGATATAAAATCTGACGAAATATCGATCTCATACAGCATCGCTTCAAAATAGATTATTCTAAGGATAATGGATTATTCTGTAAAACACGAGATCAATGAGAAAATGAAGAAACACGATTTTTCTTCACTTTAATGAGAGAGCGAAAAATGATGAAATGTTTGGATGGAAAAAAATTTCGAAGGAACGAAATATTCAAATTGCTGGAAAAGCCCATGCACGAAAAAGAATATATAAAAACTTACAAACAGATGCAAACAAAATATATTCCAAACAAGTTGTTAATAATTTCCATTTTTGTAAATTTCACAATCGCAAAACGTACCTTCTTCTATCTGTTACCAGTTACGGATTGTTCTACACCAAACAGTTTCAAGCGCCAAATCTTTTATGTTGGCAATAGATTTTGTTCGGGTTTAATGACTACGTTTACACGCACTGGTAAAAACGTTTTAACAAAAACCGGTTTTGTAAATCCTGTTCTATGGTGCCTGTTTACACGATCAGGTGTATTTTATCTCAACCAAGAACAAAGTAGCTTTATTAAACCCGAAAAAAATCTATTGTTACCATAAAAGATTTGGCGCTTGAAACTGTTTGTTGTAGAACATTCCGTAACTGGTAACAGATAGAAGAAGGTACGTTTTGTGATAGTGAAATTTACGAAAATGGAAATTATTAACAACTTGTTTAAAATATATTTTGTTTGCATCTATTTGTCAATTTTCATATATCCTTTTTCGTGCATGGGCTTTTCCAGCAATTTGAATATTTAGAAAAAATCATATTTCTTTATTTTCTCATTGATCTCGTGTTTTACAGAATAATCCATTATCCTCAGAATAATCCATTTTGAAGCGATGCTGTATGAGATCGATATTTCGACAGATTCCATATCCTTTGTACCTTCTTACAAATGTTTAAAGTTGGTAATATCGCATTTTGATACGTTAAAACCATTGAAGACCACGTCTTTCTTAAAACGGTTTAATAACGCCAAACCTCTTTCAGAATAGGTTTGACTTTACTAAAACAGTTTTCATAACATCAGTAGTAAGGGACGTTTTACAAAACATCTAAGTCCGGTTTTTCCTAAAATGGTTTTTATTACAACGGTTTTATCAGTACGTGTAAACGTAGTCAATAAAGCTACTTTGTTCTTGGTGGAGGTAAAATACACCTGATCGTGTAAACAGGCACCATAGAACAGGACTTACTAAACCGGTTTTTGCTAAAACGTTTTTATCTGTGCGTGTAAACGTAATCTATAATATGGAACGCGCCTTGCTATTGTGCGAGCTGTCCGCGATAAGAGCCGTCTACAATGGAGAGTTGTAGACCGTAATAGTAAGAAATTGACCAATCACAGACAAAGTACAGAAGAATAATCGATTGTGATTTGTCAATTTCTTACTGTTACGGACTACAACTCTCTATTGTAGACGGCTCTATAAGGCCTGATTTATGCGAGCAATAACTGTTAACTTATGCCGAAACCGGTAAAGTTTAACTATATGATTTTAGTACTTCTGTTTATACGAAATTGCCGAATGCGTATAAACAGAAGTATTGGAATCCTATAGTTAAACTCTACCGGTTCCGGCATAAGTTAACAGTTATTGCCCGCATAAACCAGGCCTAAGAGCCGTCTACAATAGATAGTTGTAGGCCGTAACAGTAAGAAATTGACAAATCACAATCGATTATTCTTCTGTACTTTGTCTGTGATTGGTCAATTTCTTACTATTACGGCCTCCAACTCTCCATTATAGACGGCTCTTAATACTCCTATATTGCTAGGTTGGTTTGGTGCTCTTTTGGCTCAGTAGACCTATAAAGCTAGTCCATACGCCATTCTATGTCTTTTTGATAACAGGTTTAAAACCGTGAATTGGGTTCCTGACGCCAAGCCACGGAGTTGTGCATTTGTTTAAATTAAAGATAATAATAAAGAAAGTGGTGTAAAACACCGACAATTGTCCAAAAATATTCACTGCGCACATCCAACCGATATGGCTGATGCAATCCAACTTCTATATTGCTAGTACGGTGCCGACCTGAAGCACACCGTTACGGTGCAGACAATATAGTAGCCTCTCTCTCCAGCTGCTTTGTGCGCATGCGGTGAACATTCAAGCACGCTTGCGCATTTCTCTTTCTCGCGTTCTTTCTCTCACTTTCTAATGCTTTGTCTCGCTCGCACTCACTTGGTAGATGCGCCTGCGCATAATGACGCTCGACCATCTATGCCCATATTTGGACTTTGTGCGTCTCCCTTTCTCGGGCCTCGTGCCTCTCATTGCGAAGATACGCGACTAGCAATATAGGAGTATTACATATATGTGTATTGTAGACTACGTCGGCTGCTTTCCTTTTAGGAGACACAGTCGACACAAGTCGACACAAAAGTCATTCTGTCTTTGTTCAGTATTCAGTGAGAAACAAAGACAGAATGACTCTTGTGTTGACTTGTGTCGACTGTGTCTCCTAAAAGGAAAGCAGCCGTCATAGAGAGCATCACAACCATAGACTTATATAATAGACGGAACATTTATATGACAAAGTTAAAGACAACATTAAAGGACAGAGATAGTGCTGGAGTAGTTATCTTTCTCTCTTACAATAAGAGCGGTGGGGGACCAATCAACTTAAGCGCTTAGACATATAAGTCTATGGGTGTGTTTAGACGAAGCTAGCGCTACGTAGCGCTAACTTCGGCTAAACACACCCTATGGCTGCGTTCCGTTTCACGCATATGCGCGCATGTATCTATAGTACACGTAACGTATAGGAGAAATAAATGCGCGCATATGCGTGAAGCGGAACGCAGCTTATGTTTAGGCGTAAAAAGCCATTACTTTTGACTTGTGTGCTCGAGAGGTTATAAAGGTTCGAGTCTTGTATGGATATAATTTTCTTATTATTTTATTTATGTTTTTAAAAAGAAACAATAACAGTTACACTAAAGCATAAACAACTGTTGTTAATTAAAGATAGCTTAATTTAGAGAAAATTTAAGTTAAGAAATATTTTAAAATTAAACCCAAATAACCAAATCTGTCAAAACAGATTTTGCCAAATGCTTGTTACAAATTTTGTTAGCAGAGAGACATCAAATATGATGCAGAGTTTGTTTTATCTGGCAATGTTGCAAATTTGCTAGCAAAAATATATCCAAGTTTGTTGACAAAACATTGCAGCAAATTGCTGGCAAAACCTGAGCAAAGCTTGTACATAATTTGAGACCAAATTAACGCCAAGTATAAAGCAAGATCTGCGCAACACGACTTGATAGCAAAATAACAACAAAAACTGAGCAAGACTTGCAGTTCAGTCAAACTATATGGTATTTAAAAAATCATTTAATTATATCTTGACTTATTTCTAAGTTATATATATACATTATCTATAATCCATTATATACATAAAATTACTTTTACATTTGAGTATTTAACCTAACCTATTTCTAATAATTAAATTTTAAAATGACATAATAAAATATTTTTTTAGCAAACTAACTATTAGAGAACCTATACAAGCGATGCTAGATGTACGCGCATTTTATATGTATGTATAAATTTGTAAAGAATTATTGACATATATCTTAAATTTATTTCTAAAAATTATATACATATATTGTATATATGTATATATATACAAGGTGTCCCAGAATTGCCGTACAATCTCTCGTAGGCAGGTAGAAGGAATAAAACTGAGTCGAAAAGTCCTGAACCATTTTTTTCTATTATTTATAATAAAGGAGTAA